TCTCTCTCTCTCTCTCTCTCTCTCTCTCTCTCTCTCTCTCTCTCTCTCTCTCTCTCTCGCTCGCTCTCTGTGCTTTGCTTTTTCATCCACTCAGCTATGTCTAACTGCAGGTTCTCGTGTCAATGCCTCCCTCCCTTCCTTTCCTCCGAATTATCTATTCCACCTCCACCCTCCTCACCTTTTCGCTGCACATCTTAGACCGATATGAATTGGTGCAGGTCCCCTTCCTTCACACAGCAAGGTAGTCAGATCCGACGACGAGATTGTTCCTCTGCCTCTCTTTTTCCATATGCGATGAAAGTGCTAGTCAAATTTCCCTTATGCTTTTCTGTATGGAATAGAAACGCCTGTCAAATTTACCTTGTGCTTGTTATTTGAATATAATTCTGCAACTCGGAACTTGCTTACTGGTCATAGCTGTATCTTTAGGGCTGATTGGCTGTATGCCTCTGTACTCTTGTGCTTTTGCTCCAGATCCCTCACTCAAGGACCTGATTTCTGCAATTTTCTGGTGCAGGTTACCCACCTTTCGGCCACACATTCAGGCGCATTCTGATTTCCGACAGAGGCATGAGTGCAAGGTAAATTGGGGGCTTGGAAGGCATTCCATCATGAACTTGCTTCTGTCTTTGCTGTGTGTTGCCGACCACTAAGTCTGGTGTGCGTAGTCCTTTTTTTGTTCGTGAACCTCAAATCGAGTTCCTTCTCTTAGACTATATCCGGGCCCCTCTAGTTGGAGTTATACTTCTTATTATCCAGCGCACACAACCATCAAGGCTTTTTCTGGTCTCTCCACTGCACGTATACCTGTTCTCTTGTTTCCTTTCTCCGCCTTATCTGTCACGTCAATGCTTTTACTGGCTCCCTCCAGTGCCCGGTGTATACTTATTTTTCTGTTACGTTTGCTTTCCGTTCCTTGTATTTGTATGTCAAAGCTTTTACAAACTCTCTCCATGCTTGTTCTTTTGCTCCCCTGAGCCCTCTACCGTCCTCACCCGAATAGAACGCCCGGTCATTATCGCGGCATCTGGACCGAAAGTTGTGCCAAGTACAGCGATTTAATGACCAAGCGTTCTATTCGGGTGAAGACGGTAGTTGGAGTTGTATGTACATTCCCCATCCAGCACATGGAAGTGTCAATACTTTTTCTTTCTACCTCTCATCATCATTGATCGAGGCCAATCGCAACTCTAGATGATTCTACTGTGAGCTTTTACACCGGCCTCTTGCCCAACATATGGTGCATGATATACAACACCCCACAACAAAGGATGAATGTTTCATACGGGTATTCACATGACAAAGACAGACTTGGAGGGTTCGGGAGGGAGGAGGAGAAGGCGGTGTCAGGGAGGAAGATGCCAAAGTAGATGACTCATGCAGTGCTAATGACTATGTCTCATTATGGTGTTCAGGGTCGATGGTAAATAGAAGCAAGGCCAGTTGCGGGTATGAATGGTGGTGCCAGATAACTTCTTGGACAGTGAATGCGGCACAGCCAAAATCAGCTATGGCAATAGTAAAGAGGTGCTGCCAGCAGTCGGCATGCTCCTGTGAACCCAAAGCAGTTGGGAATGAGTTCACAGAACAGAAAGTCGTAATGACAAGAAAATGTTGGCAAGAGAACAAAGAAAGAAAAATGGTGATGGTGGTCCCCATAGTAGTAGCAGTAGTAGTAGTAGTGGTGGTAGTAGTAGTAGTAGTAGTAGTAGTAGTAGTAGTAGTAGTAGTAGTAGTAGTAGTCATCGAGGTCGTAGACATGGTGGTAGTCGTGGCAGTCGTAGTGGTGAAGTAATAACACCAGTAGAAGCACCAGTAGGAGGATGAAGGAGGAAGGAGGAAGGAGGAAGGAAGGAGGACGAGGTTGAGAAGACGATGGTGAAGATGATGATGACGATGATGGTGATGATGATGATCGGAGGCCGTTCATTTTAGAAAAATGATGGTGATGATGATCATTAGGAGGATAGGAGGAGAAGCAGGAAGAAGAAAAGAGTTAGAAGAAGAAGAGACCATGATGATGATGAGGAGGAGGAGGAGGAGGAGGAGGAGGAGGAGGAAGAGGAGGAAGAAGAGGAGGAGATAAAGAAGGAGCATGAACAAACGACATCCAACTCACTGTGAGAGCAAAGTTCAGAAGCCAGGTGCACCTGATGATCATCATTGTGGTAGTGGTAGTGGTGGTGGTGGTGGTGGTGGTGGTGGTGCTGCTGCTGCTGCTGCTGCTGCTGATGATGATGATGATGATGATGATGATGATGATGATGATGATGATGATGATGGCTAGAGGAGCAGGTGGAGGAGGGGAGGAGAGGAGGAGGAGGAGGAGGAAGAGGAGGAACGAGAAGAAGAAGGGAAGAAGAAACATACCGAATGGCACCCACTTAGTTTGATATCACAGTACAGAATCTAAGTACACCCCGACATTGTGTTCACCGATGTCGCCAATACTCCACAATAGCATACCACACTCACCATCGTACAAGAACCCCTGCGCTCTCTAGGACAAACTCAGACACACAGGATCACTACCCTGTGTCCTGATGACTAGTTCATGTGGTCGCACGCCTGAGTAGCACCAAGAAGGTGCGCAGTTTGAGTTGCACTCAGGTTATTCTGGCCTATGACGATGATATCTTATACCCCTGTGGAGAGCAAGGGTAGGGCTGGAGTAGGCTAGCCCAATGAGGACATAGTGGTATTCAGCTTCATCCCAACAATTTCCGTTAACATCTCCCGCTGTTCAGATTGATTCTTGAAAGTAGGCCAGTTTGCCACCTATTGTGGGCTGTTGGGCAAGTGTTTGAAAAAAAAAAAAAAAAAAAAAAAAAAAAGTGGGCTGTTGGGCCGGTGTATCCTGCTGTTTTGCATTATTATTTTTTATTAGTATAACATTATTATTATTTAAGCCACCACTCCAGTCTATTTGTGGGGAGCAGCACGCGCCGTGGAATGGGCCAACTATCCCTTAGGAAAGTTAAGATTTGGCCAATTGACAAATGACAGAAGCATCAAAGAAAGGGTATCAGCATTAATCTTCCCTCGGTGGAGCCCAGGGGAATCACTGAGTTCCTCTTCATCTGAAGCAGGAGCAACTGGCCTAGCTCAGTGGTTAGGCATGCAAGTGGCATTCAGGAGGTCGTGGGTTCAATCCCCACTGACCGCCTGGGGCATGCTTGGTGCCAACCGACTGAGGTAATCGGCTTGCTCCCCTTCATGGTTATAACCTATTGGTATGGTCTATAGCCAACATGGGTGTGGTGGGGGCGGAGTTCTGTCTGGTGTGCGGGAGAGTTTTGGCCTTACTCGATGGGGCTGGGGGAAGTGGATGGGAGGCACAGCTATTGGCAAAATGCTTTGTCCTCGCGTCAGCTGGCCCCACCCCACCTCTGGCCCCACTCCACTCCCTGACCACCACCGACTAGGGCGGCGGGCAACATGCATTCCGTTGGTCATGGCAGGTAGCTACGCTTGCAGGGATTCCCTGTATAGGCTTAGGAGTAGTGGTAATGTTGAAATTTAGAGAAGAATGTGGCCTAGTTTAAGGGAAAAAGGAAAAAGGAAAAAGAAAAAGAAAAACGGCTGAACCAGGGACTTGATCTGCCTCTTCAGCTTGCTTTTCGTCATGCTGTCAGATTTACCATACATGCTGGCTAATCAGTCTGGCGACTCTGGCCTAACCATGATATCTCTACTAAAGAATTTGCCCGTGGTGGACAGGGATCTGAAAATCTTTTCTTACAAAAATGGGCAACGGCTTGAGGTATCATCATTGAACTGACAGGCCGCAGGCAATTCAGAATTGTTTTAGTCTGTTCATCTGATTGCATTTGGACTCGAACTTGGGTCTGATTCATATTTCAACAGTTCATGGGTGTACCAACTGAGGTAGGCCCGATGGTGGGATCTGAAAACTCATCCACTGGTCTCATTGGAAATGAAATAACCGTAGTCCAATCATTGAAGGATATACGAGTCCTTTCCATATTCGTCACATCCTTATCGATCACTGCAGTTGCACTTTATCCTGGGACACCAAGCCATTCCTTGGTGAAGTGGTTAACTTTTTGCATTCTGTCCTTAGCTTCATTCAGTGGTTTGACCGTTTGGAGCATAGACTCCCATTCATTCAGGCTTGTATTTTGGATATAGTCAGCCTGAACTATTTCACGCCCCTCGGTCCATACATCCTCCCACTTGTGTATGGCACTGTATGCGGGACCACAAGACTGCCTTTTTTCTCCCTTGCTGAGTCCTCTAACGCGTCCCTGGCTGATTGACGGAAAATTCTGGCAACAAAAACCTGAGGCCGGTCACCTGGGGATGTATCTCAAGGCCTCGCCCTCCCTTCCCAGCTAGAAAATCAAAGCTGCGGCGTTCATGCTGCCGCGAACCTCGGGAAGGACTGGGGCGCCGTTTCGCGGCACATCCATCCAGGCCAAACGTGTTGCCTGCAAGGCCCATTTTGTCTGGATGGATGTCCAGCAAAACGGCACCCCGGTACTTCCCGAGAGTCACGGCAGCATGCACGCCGCAACTTTGATTTTCTAGCTGGGAAATGTACTGGTGGCTTAACAAAAAAAGAAAAGGGAGACTACTCTGTCACCTGAACACATTCCCCTTGTATTCCCCATGGGTCTGGAGGTTTGACCATTGCACACGATGATTACATTTCAAGTTTCAGCATCATTTTCCCTTTATGTTCTCGAGAACAATCTCAGGGCATACTCACAGCAGTACCTTTTTCGGCTCTTTAACCGAAATCTGTGAGGCGCTGTAGTCATGCAAGTACCACCACACCCATCTTTTGTGATCACAAACGTCAACGGCCTGCTGAGCCACACGAGGTACTATTTACCAGGCACTTCCGGAGAGTGGGGGTCCCTGTTAACTGCTCATGGAGGTGCCCAGAAAGTGGCACACAAACCCATCTTTTGTTTTAGAAGAATTGTGAAAGGAAATTCCAAAAACCAGTAACTGCATACCGTTATGGCCAGAGAAATGCGAAACCGATTCACTGAATGAATTTGAGAAAATAGAGAAGCATACGCCTACCTGTATATTCATGGTTTGCCGGTTGAAGTGGACATGCTTCCCAGAAGAGATCAGCGCCAGGACCGTAAGGCCGGTTGAAGAGGAACCAGCCAGTGCACACTCCCCGTTAACCACTTGTGAGGGATCAGAGGCAGGACCAGAAGGCCCTGTTCAGTTGCAAAAAGGAAATGAAAGCCTTCTCAGCAGTCTGACTGACCAGCATCAAAAACACACAAAAGAGAGCACCACTGGGACTCCGTCATACTCTAGAAGTAATAAACATAGAGTGTTTACTTGGCGACCTGCCTCTTCGCCCATATTCGCCTGCCACCAAACCCATCAGAATTTGTGAGCAGAAATACAAGTGCGAGTACGCCCTCAGGCAGATACACACTCATTCTTCATTGATCGTGTGTGTATTAACCTTCGTGTTTAAAGCACCCGCATCACACAGCCTTGTCTGGGGGATGCCCATTAATCTCTTCTATCACACCCACAGCACAAAAGGAGGAGGGGATAACGGGTAGAACGAAACCACAAACACTGAAAGAAGATAACTCATTCGTTTTGCATATTCTCTCTCTCTCTCTCTCTCTCTCTCTCTCTCTCTCTCTCTCTCTCTCTCTCTCTCTCTCTCTC